CCTCCCCTGACCGCACGTCACTGGTAGAAATGACCCAAGGGAAGAAAACTACAGAGAAGAGCCGAGGATGAATCCCTATTCACCTTTTACACCAGGACCAGTGACCTGGGAAGAAGTTGATTCCCCAGAAAGAATGAAATTGAGGAGAGAGTATGAAGTACTGGATGAGTGGAACCAGGAAACTGATACAGAGGAGGACAGCACTGACTACTACTTAGAGATTTCAGGAAAATATGCTCCCACCCCCCACAACACAAACACTGCATGTGGCCTTAGATGTCCAGTTAACTGCATTACAATCCTGTCTATACACTTAGAGCTGACTACATTGGTGGTGGGCAAAGGAGTCTTCTCGCTCTCATACTGTGCACACTGCATGCAGGTCGCAACTAATGGCAACAACATTACCTATAAGGCTATATATTTTAAAGGGGAAGGCCTGACCTTTAACAATTCGTTTGTGAATGAAGGCTGCTATGGGTACCTTCTCTGCCATAGCTCACTAGCTTTGGCTGTAAAGCAGAGTGGTATTAGGTCTGCCTGCAACTGAAACGCCTTGTGGGAGATGCTTGGCTCGCACACTGAGTGCACGGGCAAAGTACGTGCAAATAGGCCATTCAGTGGTTTTGCTTGGGATAAGTAAAATTACCGGTCAAGCCTTTTTTCAGCCCTGCTGCTGCCATAGATTATGGATTTTTTTCATTGTGCTGTCAGTACGTTTAATATATTATTCCCATTGGGATGAAAAGAGAATTTCAAGATGTAAAAATGCTTCAGAAAAAAAGGAAAAAAAAAAATCGCTAACCCTACCTTTAACAGTTTCTGGGTAACTGACTATAAGATTCTTGTATTATATCCAGAGATTTTGACTTATGCGGATATAACTGAATATGTGTAGAAAATGCTAAGGTGGACGGCGGGGTGGGGCAGTTATGGGAAAGATAACAGTTCTAACCAACAACAGTCTGGCCATAAAAGATAGTAATGACAAAAAAAAGAAAAAAGGAAAAAAGTCCAGCCAGTACTTAGCCTGTTTCAAGCAAACTTTAATGTAAAGACCAACGCATTTCGGCAAGCAGCCCCATGAAGGTTTGTTTTTCTCTTGGTTGTGCTTGAAGTTGCTAAACAAGAGCAAGTCTGATTGGAGAAGAGCATTCAGCCTATGTGACAGAAATCATTTAAAAACCACAGTAAAAGAGGAACTAACTAGATGCACGATGCACATCAGCTGCTGGAGGAAACTGTCAGACAGAAACCCACAGGAGTCCACACCTAGGGGCAGAGGCGCTGTGGGATTTATGCTGCTCAGCAAAACCCAAGAATCACCCTGACACCAGTTAGTAATTAATTTTCAGTAAGAAATTCTTTGACTTCTGTTCAGTGATTGAAGAGCTTGACAATGATTTAAACTCAATGCTTAGGACTCTTACTGAATTTTGAAGTTGTAAGTCAAATCAAACAATTTATTTGGTGATTTTTGAAAGTTTGTATTATTGCTTGCTGCTGTGTTGTAGAGGTTTTAAAAAAAAATCTTTATAAACTTTTTATACCTTTGAATTTTCTTTTTATTGACTTATCCTTCTTGTTAACTTGTGTCAGTTACAGATAAGTTAGAAGCTGTCCTAAGGGGTATTCAAAGGTGTTTATGATAATGCTTTATAAAAAGTGATTAAACTCATTGTAACCTTTAAAAGTAAAACAGTGATTATTAACCTTAAAACCAAATTTTTGGCTCAATCTTGAAATAAAATTTTATGAGTAAGCAAAATGTGCTTGTTGCTACATTTTGGAACTTAACTCTGCGGAATGTAACTAACATCAGCTAATACCCTGTGCACAAGAATTAGGGTCTAATGTGACATTTGCCATAGATTTTATGGGTTATTCCAGATCTAACTAAACACTTTCTCAAAGAGCAAAGTAAACTGGCACCTACAATTTCCCAGTACTGTAACATCTGAAGATATAAGGAGGTAGCTGCCTATAACTGCAGGTTGTCATTAATTTATCGTGAACTGGTGACATGAAAGAGGGAGGTCTGCAAAGAACCCAGGTTCACAGTAGTTCACTTCTGGGTGAATATCTCAGCCTGAACACACCAAGCAGCAAGTTCTAACAGAGTTCAAATAATGCCACCTTATTGTGATAGGTTGAAGTGTGTTCCTCAGCCCAGGGGTTAGCAATTGTGGCCTTCAAACATGGGGTCCCAACGGCACAGCGTAGATTCTATGTAGATTCAACACAGCCATAAATCAAGATTTAGCTCTTATATACCTGAGAGACCAGTTGAGTATCGGTCACTACTACTTGGCAGTCTGGAGGGTAAAGAGGAGAAGCCTGTGGAGCTCACTGATGACAAACTGCTCAGACTAGAACCCTGATAAAGAAATGGAGAACAAAATTTAGGAGGAGAAAATACATGTGTCGCCAAATGCACCAGTTTCAACCAGTTCATCTGAAAGTGGAAGAACTGAAAAGTCTGGACGCACAATTCTGACTTGGCTCATTTTGTTTTCAGATCTTCAAAAGCAGATTAAAAACCTGTTATGTTCAGAGTGACAGATACTACACTACTCTGCCACTTTAATAGTCACACCTGTACAAGTGTATGCAACACTTCTGCCTTAACATCTGCTTATATGAAGCTCAAAATGTTCCAGTTTTTGGTGAAATTGTCATAAATGTATAAATTCAAATATATGTTTATTACTGAGGTCATAGTTAAAGGTGGTGTTGTACTGGACTACATTTTATATTCAGAGGTGTTCCTAATATTCTGACCCTCTCATGTATGTAGCTGGTGAACACAAAAATATAGAGATACTATGGCCTCAATATAATAACATAATCAACATTATACATTTATGACAATTTCACCAAAAACAAGCATGTTGAGCTTCATAAGGCAGAAGTGTTGCACTGAATTGCATACAACTGTACAGGTGTACCTAATAAAGTGGCTGGTGAGTGTATATAGAAAATATTCTAAGAACGCAGTTAGAATTAAATTGAAACTATACTAACAGAAATGGCCAGATCAAATTTAATGATTGATCTTTATCAGGGTTTGGAACTGAAGATTTTAGAATGAGATTTTCTTCCATACCGCTGATACACTCCTGAGCCTGTACTCCATCAGCAAATCGGTTAGTTTCTGTGTCACCTTCAGCACCAGCTGTGCATCACTCTCATTCTTGATACGGAAAGTATCCTTTAAAAAAAATAAAAATAAAATTTACTGTATGTTTGAATATAAATATAAATTAACACTTTTGTAAAGTTGGGGAAAACCCTATTGTGAGAAATCAGATACATACCAGGTAGGAGAGTAGTGGGTTGGAAACGTTGCTACATTCTGGAGCTCCCATCAAACCTGGCCTGTCCTGTGGCTTGTCCACTGGTCGATCCATTAAGCTGTTCCCCATTTGGGTGCCCCTGAACCCATCAGGATACATTCTGCCTGGGTTCTCCTCCAGCAGTCCACTCCTTCCATAGCTGTCTCTTCCACCACCTGGTCCAAAACCATCTCCAGTTCTAGCTGGACGATGACCCATATCATCCGGGAAAGGTCTCCGATCCATACCAGAAACAGGGAAATCTTGTCGAGTTGAGTAGCCTCCAAAACCAGGCCCCCCATACTCTCCAACTGGATAGTCTAGGAGGGGACCGCCCTGAGGAGGAAACTCATCTGGAAACCCCAGGTCAGAGAACCTGGGACCTGTGAGAAAGATTTGTCAATTACATTTAAACACATGTACTGTAATTGAACAGAAGGGCATACATGCACACAGAATATGCAAATACATAAGTGAATCACCAAAGAGTGGTCCCTTTGGCCCCATCACTGGAGCTGGTGGAGGCACAACCTTAGGAGTGGCAGTACCTGAGAGAGAAGACAGGACAAAGGACATGTACACATCTCAGAATGCAGCCAAAAGGAAATAGGTTTCTACTGAAGTAACTCATAGTGGAGTGGCTTACGGAGTCCCTTGAAAGCAGGTACCTCAAATGGTTCCTTCAGGATCACCTACAAGTCACAGCAGGAACAGAAAATGTCAAATCTGCGACCAGGGTGCACAAAATAACCCACTGCTCGAATAAAAACATGGGGCATTTCTAGGAATTCAACATATTTTGAATTTAGAATTTTAAGGTAGACTACACAAGATAAAATGATTAATGTTGTGATGAGCTGAAAAAATTTAGAAAAAAAATCAACTGGACTAGATTTCTAGGTCGAAGACATTTCACCTCTCATCCAAGAGGCTTCATCAGTTCTGACTGACTGGTGTTGAGCCCGAGATATTTATCCCCCTCGGTGGTGTTTCAGTCCTTTGAAGGAGTCGTTGCAGCCCAGTATCGGTGAGAGTCAGTACCTGTGTCTTTGAATCCTCCCCTGTCGACTGATGCCTATTGTCATGGTGGGCATGTTTGGGCAGAGATCTCAAAACCGGATTGTAGATTGAAGACAAGTTGTGTCTTAGTCCACCACGCCTATTTAGTATTTAGTGAGGGGTGTTCTATTTTTACAAAAATAGCTTCCTTAACACCTCTCTCAAACCAGCGATATTCTCTGGAGAGGATCTGGACTTCACTGTCCTCAACTCCTGACTACACTTAATTGCATACACCACATCACTCTGTTTATGTCTGGGTGTTTTGTCCTTCGGGTGGACCAGTCTCTGTCACAGGGTGTTCCCTGGCTTAAAGTTAACTGGGATATTGTGGTTGTGAAATATCCTTTTTAACTTCTCTGATAAACCAGCCACATAAGGGATGACAGTGTTATTCCCTCTTGTTTCTGGTTTCTCCCTGTTGGTGTTGGGCCTGTTCTTGCTTTGGTGAAGGCCCACTTAGGGTATCCACAAGCCCTAAGGGAACTCCCTTGTAGTATTATAAACCAGAGGTGGAAAGTAACCAACTATATTTACTCAAGTACTGTACCTAAGTACAAGTTTGAGATATTACAGGTACTGCATATTTATATTTTTTGCTACTTCATGTCAGCTTCCCTAGACTTCAGAGAAAAATATTGTACTTTATACTCCCTACATATGATAATTTCAGTTACTAGTTACTTTTCAGAATGAGATTAATAAAACATAATACAGTATAACCACAAGACTTTACTGGTCCTCACTGTGAAATTCACAAACTACCCTGCAGTATGTAGTACTTCAAATTATAAACATGGTATTTAAAATGAGCTCCCTCTGCAACATTAAAGGGATCAACACATAATACAGTCATTATAATCAATTATATGATATACATTAATGTGAAATGTACCATTCTACATGAGTACTTTTATTTTTGGTATTTTAAGTATATTTTGATGCCAATACTTTTGTACTTCTACTTAAGTAACATTTTGAATGCAGGACTTTTACTTGTAACAACACTGTGGTATTGCTACTTTTACCAAAGTAAAGTATCCGAGTACTTCCTCCACCACTGTTATAAACCACTACACAGTGCTTATGGAGCCTTCACGGCCAATTAAACTGGACCTCCAAGATCATATTTCATCTTCTCACCAGTATTTGTAGCAACATCCAACCAACACCCTTTAGTTGTTTTTTTTTTTTCTCAGCCCCAGTAGGGTTTGACACTCACTTTGAGTTGCCCCCTTCCTTCTGTGTTCTCCACCTCAGCAGCAACATCTTTAATTGTCTTTCTTACAGCAGGGTCTTTGATGGCCTCTTCCTCTTCACAGGTGAGCTTGTCAGGGTAGGCCTTTTTCTATTGGTTGGGAGGAGAAAATGCAAATATAACAAATAATTTTGCAATGCCATGCCTTTGATACAGAATAAGAAACCAGCAACACTCACCAGGTATCTGAAGCTGTGTTTCCAGCCTTTCACGTGAGCAAGCATATCATGCTGCAAGCGGGACACGGCACAGAGCTTGCACTGGTAGTGTGGAGGGACAGATTTACTTGGGCTGCGGTACTCCCACACATACTGAAGACCTGTAGATGTGTGATGGCCAATGGTTATGTATGTCACTGTAGGAAAGGGAAGGTGGTAGATGTAGTGTATGTGAGGGGAAACAGCCCCTTTGCTTACCAATGACACACTCTGTGACCCCCTTCAAGTGTTTACCGAGAGACGGCAATGTCTGGATGGACGCCCCTTTTGTGAACACTGGGAAAACATCATTATTCAGCATAAAGGAAATCTTAATAATAGTCCACAACTGATGAACAAGTGACACAACAAGGTTCTTGTCTAAAACTTGTAACCATAACAACCATAGTAAAGAAGACTATGAAGTTAAGATTGTTGTGTTTCTACATTACCTGTAGTGTCTGATGGTCAACAAATTCTTTTCTGTTTCTATTAACTGAGACAACATTAGAAACCCAGACTCCTCACATATGCTTCTGAAGCCTGGGAGAAGAACAGGAACAGCAGTTCTCGGCTAACCCCCATTTAAGCCCGAAACGGACTGCAGACACCAGCTCCGCTGCTTCGCACTGTGCAGCACTGCAGAAGTATCACTTCTGAGTTGCACTAATGACACAGCCCAACTGCAAATGCATGACAGATTCCCTGCTTAACTTAAAAAACCCCTGGTAAGGGGGTATGGTTTACTTGGTGCAAGAAAAAAAAAGTTACATTACTCAAGCAAGTGTAGCAGAGGCAACTGAATAAAACAGGGAATACTGCATTCCGCAGTGCTAAAAAACTTTTTATACAACAAGCACAGCACAAGGTGCATTGAATGTACGTCAGCAACCACTGCAGATGCATGGCTGCAGTACTGTACCTCCCAGTGTTTTAAGACTGTGTGTAAGCGTTGCTAGGCAATACTGGAGCTTACAGTGCTGGTCTTCAGTGTATCAACATCTTAGGAGAATGGACTGATATTTCTAAAATTGCTCAGTATATGTTTTTAAAAATCATCTAAAAGGTTGAAATTTTGATTTTCTACACAGCAAGATAGTGGAAAATGTTTTTGTAGTGAAAAACACTGATCTCCAAGAACCGAAACCACGAATGGCACCATAACAGCCCCATCTCTGAGAGTGTGTGTCTCACAGAGTGGTGAGCATGCCACCACCCATGACATGAAGCAGGGAAATCAAGATCTCAAGCTTCAACTCTCAGCACTGGCTGCGGTACCATGTGTACAGGACTTACCTATATCATCAGAATGCTGTGGCTGCTTTCTCTGTCAATGGAGGGGAATAAACCCACATGAAGGAGAGAGACACATACAGGCATTAGTGACAATGTGACACTCAGCAGAGGACTGAACTCCTCGTTCATGTTCGCCACACTACGTATGCCATAGAGCCATTATTTTCCTCATTCTCCATGACCTGTGCATCAAGCAGCGCCCGCCATAGAGACAAGTGTATGAATGGTGTCTAAAGCATGTAATCTGGACATTAGTCTAAATTCTCATTAAATGAGAATTTAGAATAGCACCAGTTAATCAGCTGTTTAATAAAGAAAGAAAGGATAGAGTTGATACACTGGATGAAGGCTAAACCAGAACTTTCAATATGCAAACAATGTCTACAGTGGCCACATCAGAGAAATCTGAGGTCAAGACCTCAGTATGAAACGGTCTGTGCTCTTCTGTTACTGAGCCATGTGTTCCTACACCTTGTGGTATGGTTGGGAGTCCTGAATCCTGGTTTAAGAGATGAAAATGACAAACACAAATGATGTGATAATCACACATTCATCCTCTTTCCAGGAAGAGCAGCAAAGAAAAGATGGATGTTGGTTTGTAGCTGAGGCTGTATAAAAACATGGAGGTGGTTCCTGCTGTCTTTTAACCTGGATTTAGGTTTCTCCTTTGCTACCATCATGGCAGTTACTAAACTAGAAACAACAGACGAGTCCCTGGGTGCAACTGAAGAGGGATGCTGTAGTGACATCCACTTGGGTTGAGCACACCTGTCCCAAACATAATCTTTCCAATTACATCAGTAGAGGGATGCATGCACAGGCACGGGGTAGAAGATGAACCAAAATGTACAACAGCTTATGATGAAATCACCATGAAAAGTTGTTTTGGGGACTAAATCTGTGCACGTCACAAAAGTAACAAAGTGGAGATGTTCATTATCTCAAGAAGGAAACCTGTCTGTTAGCTCAGAGTTCAGAATTACCTGTGCGATACAGACAGAGATCTGAATTTTATGAAGCCGCGGAAGGTTTTACATGCCTTTTTTCAGGTAAGGCAGCTCACACCATTATTGTGTGTTTAAGTGTTTGTGAATTTCCCCACTGTGAGACTAATAAAGATTCATCTTATCTTATCTGTGTTTGACGTATGTTTGGGAATAAGAAACAGATGAAAGAGGAGCAGACAGGTCACTAAAAATGTCACATTGTTATCTTTGTAAAATTTCAAACAAACAACGAAAAAAAAAAAACAAGATTCTGCATTAATGCAGCACATTTGGTAAATACCCAGTGTCTGATGTACTATGAAAAAAAAGCCTGCCAACTTTTTTTTTTCAATACTAAAATTAATTGTGTGAGGCTTCTGTGTTTCTAAGTTCGACCTGCGCCGTCATGTTTTTACACGCACAAGTCTCTCTAGAGCTAACTTTGTGTATAGCCTCAAGTAGTTACAGTATTGTTCAAAATAATAGCAGTACAATGTGACTAACCAGAATAATCCAGGTTTTTAGTATATTTTTTATTGCTACATGGCAAACAAGTTACCAGTAGGTGCAGTAGATTCTCAGAAAGCAAACAAGACCCAGCATTCATGATATGCACGCTCTTAAGGCTGTGCAATTGGGCAATTAGTTGAAAGGGGTGTGTTAAAAAAAATAGCAGTGTGGCATTCAATCAGTGAGGTCATCAATTTTGTGAAATAACAGGTGTGAATCAGGTGGCCCCTATTTAAGGATGAAGCCAGCACTTGTTGAACATGCATTTGAAAGCCTGACGAAAATGGGACGTTCAAGACATTGTTCAGAAGAACAGCATACTTTGATTAAAAAGTTGATTGGAGAGGGGAAAACCTATAAAGAGGTGCAAAAAAATTATAGGCTGTTCAGCTAAAATGATCTCCAATGCCTTAAAATGGAGAGCAAAACCAGAGAGACGTGGAAGAAAACGGAAGACAACCATCAAAATGGATCGAAGAATAACCAGAATGGCAAAGGCCCAGCCAATGATCAGCTCCAGGATGATCAAAGACAGTCTGGAGTTACCTGTAAGTACTGTGACAGTTAGAAGACGTCTGTGTGAAGCTAATCTATTTTCAAGAATCCCCCGCAAAGTCCCTCTGTTAAAAAAAAGGCACGTGCAGAAGAGGTTACAATTTGCCAAAGAACACATCAACTGGCCTAAAGAGAAATGGAGGAACATTTTGTGGACTGATGAGAGTAAAATTGTTCTTTTTGGGTCCAAGGGCCACAGACAGTTTGTGAGACGACCCCCAAACTCTGAATTCAAGCCACAGTACACAGTGAAGACAGTGAAGCATGGTGGTGCAAGCATCATGATATGGGCATGTTTCTCCTACTATGGTGTTGGGCCTATTTATCGCATACCAGGGATCATGGATCAGTTTGCATATGTCAAAATACTTGATGAGGTCATGTTGCCTTATGCTGAAGAGGACATGCCCTTGAAATGGTTGTTTCAACAAGACAATGACCCCAAACACACTAGTAAACGAGCAAAGTGTTGGTTCCAAACCAACAAAATTAATGTTATGGAGTGGCCAGCCCAATCCCCGGACCTTAATCCAATCGAGAACTTGTGGGGTGATATCAAAAATGCTGTTTCTGAAGCAAAACCAAGAAATGTAAATGAATTGTGGAATGTTGTTAAAGAATCATGGAGTGGAATAACAGCTGAAAGGTGCCACAAGTTGGTTGACTCCATGCCACACAGATGTGAAGCAGTTATAAAAAACTGTGGTCATACAACTAAATATTAGTTTAGTGATTCACAGGATTGCTAAATCCTAGAAACAAAAACGTTTGTACAACATAGTTTTGTGTTTGTACAGTCAACGGCAGACACTGCTATTATTTTGAACAATACTGTACATGAGTGTCTATCAAAGGTGTGTGGTTTAAACAAAAGAGATGCATTGCAAGGATGTTTATGTTGTGTATAAATTTACCTCTAACTAGTCATTTCATGGATTTCCAGCAGCTGCTTTACTTCTAAAGAGTAAAAATGCCCGTCTACAAGCCATTATGATATTTGGCAACTTTTCTGTTCCAATGCTGCGCACGCATCCTCTATTGATTGTAAACAGGAAACTTGTCTGTAGAAAGCTAAGGAGACAAGCAGCCAAAGATGAAGGGGATTAAAAATGCTGCATGCAGCAGCTCTTAAAACATAAACCGAACATCCCCTTGTGTGTTTAGTGAATTGTTTTCTAACTTGTACAACTAATTCAGGAGTTTAACAAAAGGGATTTCTTTCACTGAATTGTATGGGTATGTAGTAGTCCCTGCAGTTATAATCTGTTTTGCTGCAGTTTTACATATTAACAATACCAAAGAACAAGTAAGCAGCCATACTGAAGATGAGGCCTTTATGTTTTAGAGTGTGACAGCACTCAGAAGTAAAAACTGAGGTAACTGCCATTAGATATTGGTTCAAAGAACCAAGTTCACATCACATACAAAGCTCATTTAAATCTGAACTACTTCAGAACATTAAATGTTTGCTTTGTGAAGCCCAAGAGCTGGACCATACTTTAAACCATATGAGTGTTATCAGGCCACAGATGAGAGGCCCAGGCCAGTGAGTGGGGGGTCTTCACATACCAGAGAGCAACCCTGGGCGCACAGAGACTGGCACCCAGGTCAACCTGCCGCCTGGCTTTCCATCTAACATCCCAGCAGCCAGGGTACAGCATCAGTCATAAGAAAAGTAAATCACGTTTCTTTCGTGGCAGTCAGCACCATGCACGAGGCAATGCGAGTGTAAACTTTTTTTTTTTTCTCGAATAAGATGTTAAGGGACACACACCTTGTTTCGCCTTTGGTTCTGCTGTCGTCCATTTTTTGGTGGAGGCTCGTTGACTGAAACCTGAGCCTCCATGTCTTCAGTTTCTGTACTGTGGAACAAAGAAAGAAGACTATCAAAATAACTTCTGTGCCAAGTAAGTCTCTTTAAAGACAGAGACACTATCGCATTAGTGCTTATTAAATTGAAGTCTACCTAGGGTTACTTTCGTTGTTTCGTTTCATCTGAGGCCCAGGCAGCCGATCCCGCAACCTTAGACCAGTTTGGATAATATTACACTAGCTGTGAAAAATATCTTAGCAAGTCCAGACGCCAAACACCATAAGTAGCTCCATTAGTTAGATAGCAAGACAATATAACCTAACATACCCTAGATTACTGGATGCAAACTGCAGGCTCCGGGTCTGGAAATTATATAATTGGTTTTTTTCCTCGCTTCTATTTCTTCTTCGTCTTCTGTTGTTTACTGGCGGTTTGCTAGCCAACTTAAGGTGCATTACCGCCACCTGCTGGGCTGGAGTGTGAATCAGAACGACCCCTACCAAGTACTATAACAAAATAACCTGACTCAGTTCCCATTATATTGTCTTGCTTAACCCTATACTCTATAAAAACCTAAGAACTACTCTGTACCCTATATCCCCTGAGCTTTTTTTCAAAACCTCTGTTAAACTAAAGTTCATTCCACCTCTTAGAACTGTATTTTTAAATACTCCCTCTCCCCCCTAAACCTGCGACAACTCATAATAACATGTTACACAGTTTTTGTACCCTACACAACTCACTCCCCTTTATTATGCTTCTTTGTCAACTTCAATGTACTTTTCAAACAAGTATGACCAAATCTCAGTCTTGATATCATATTTTCCTCCTTTCTATTCCTAGGACTTCCTTTTATTTCTCCTACTTCCCTTTGGATAATGTAATAGAACTAACTCTTGCCTTCTTTATCCCATAGTTCTTGCCATTTCTCTTTAATTTTTCTTTTAATTAAACTTTTAATATCAACCTTATTATAATTTATGGCTACACCCACATCTCTATTTTTTAAGTGCAGCTTTTGCAAATTCATCTGCTAGTTCATTACCCTCCAGCCCAGTATCTGCAGAAATCCAAACTAGCCTAATATCTATTCCGGCCCTCTGACATCTGAATATCATACAAGCCATTTCAAGAATTACTGTATGTCCTGGTCAAGTCTGAATGGATATATTGAATACTCAAAGAACTGCTGGAATCTGATCCAATTAGGACTTTTAATGGTGTATGTTCTTCTACCCATTCTAATGCTAGTACAATAGCTAGTAATTCTCCTGTGTATTATGAGAGATTATCACTGATCTGTTTATTTGATTTTACATTTAATTCTGGTATAATGAATGCTGAGCCTATTTTGCCATTTTCTCTCTTAGATGCATCTGTATATATTTTAAGTAATCCTGTCTATATATCCAGTTACCTCAGTTTGTCTTACACTTTCCTTTTTCTCCCTTTCTAAAACGTTCATATCAATCTTTACTGCCTCAAACATCCAAGGTGGGATCACAGATAATGGAACAGTAGGACTTATCCTTTTGTCCTCCAATCATGTTTCACTAATCTTACCTTTTATTGTCCATCCAAAACTCCTCTCCTGACCTTTCTCCTTTTCTTGACACCTTTACAGTACTCTTTATGTGGGATGACCTCTTTATGCCCTTTTAAGTTCACCCAATATGTTAGTGCCAATTGTGTTCTTCGTAAGGCCAAACGTAATTCACTTGTATGGCCAAAACCAGCATTGTCTTCATGGCCCCACAGCACAGTCTTAAAACTTGATACTGTATAGAAAGTCACTTTCGGCTTTTCCCGTTTTAGGAGTCGCCACAGCGAATCGTCACACTAACGACTCGCATGTTGACATTTGGAACGTGTTTTACGCCGGATACCCTTCCTGACGCAACCCTCATTAAAACTTGATACTGTATGGTTCCCTGGAATCTTTACAGCAGTTGGCACTACTGCTACCCAGTGATGGAACATCAATTAAGTTCAATTTTTAGGTATCTGTACTTAACTTGAGTATTTCCATTTCCCTTTCAGTACATTTCAGAGGCAAATATTGTACTTTTTACTCCACTACAGTTATTCAGTTCAGTTCCTATTTGCTTTTTAGGATTAATTTAATGAAACCAAATACAGTGTAATCAGAAGACTACTGAACCACAATGAGAAATTCACAAGCTACTCAGCATCAATCAGTCAATCAATCAATGAGCCAGTTTTCTTCGCTTTCTTTCTTCACTTTTATACTTTTTCTTCTTCTTCAGTCCAGTTTTTATCCTATAGGCTTCAATGTAGCAAAAATGCACTTAGCTACATCTAAAAAAAAAAAAAAGAAAAAGCAGCAGCAGCAGCAGCAGCAGCAGCAGAAGAAGAAGAAGAATTTTTTTTTTATTGAACAAATGTATTTACAACGAATATGGCAAACAAACATTAGTATTCCATAACATATTAGGTAACAGGTACATTAACAAAAAACAGGAAATGAGAGGAAGGAGAGAAAAAGAAAATAAATAAATACATAAATAAAATAAGGATAGATTTAAAATAAATAAATAATAAAATTAAAAGTAAATAGTCATGTTGTCAAAACTAGGGCTTTGGTATTAAATTATACTCTTCAATTAAATTAAAAGGTTTAGTAGCATTTTTTGTTTTCATGAGATTGAGGGCTTTAACAAAAATAAGAAACTCACTGAGAAATATACAGAAACGAGGTACAATTTTCATATACTTAGATTTATGAATATAAAATTTTCCAATAATGATGATGTTGTTGATCAGAAATTTAGCGTTGGCATTGTCCATCAGGGTGAAAGGGAAATGGGGGGTGTTTACGTAAATACTTCGTTGAGAATGGGGAGCAGTGTCTTCTCCGGTTCTAAAAACCATTCAAGTTTATCGTTTTATTGAGTCCAGCCTTTAGAAAAGAAGCTGGATAAACTCCCGTTATAAAACTGAATTACAATGTGACACATTCAATTGTGCACGGCTGGGCACTAGGGAGACATAACTTAATATTTTTAAGGCACTTTTGCGGGCAGCTATGAGATGCATTCGTTTTAATCACCAGGGTTAACCGTAAAACACTGCTGGATTCAAAATTGAACAGGGTATTAAACGCGCTAATATAACCGTGGTATTTCTTTTATCCTGATTAAATGTAGGTGGACAATGTATTGTTTGAGTATTTTAAAAAGTCTTCTTTATGACCGTGCTCAGAGGTTTTTTTTTGTTTTACTGTAAGCTCCACCGCCATTGTGCTTTGAACATACGCACACACACGCGCGCACCATAGGACCCAAGACAACATGAGACTAAATTATATTTTGTTTTTGTAATTGTGAGTGGGGAGGCTCTTCTTTAGCTTTTAGACAATATTAGTCCAGTCGTTTTCTGTGGTAAGTACAATAAACACTTTTGCGTGATGCTGAGCCAGGGCATATAGTTAGCTACAAGGTAGCTAATTTTGCTAACGTTAATGTACTGTTGTGATGTTACTTCTTAAGATTTAGCATTAAAGTCTCATTATTCAGAGCAAAAATTGAGCAATTTGTATCGCATGTGCTGCAAAAGGAAACTTTATATCTAATACTAACACACACTCAGTTGGCAGTTTATTAACATTGGGCACATTAAGCTAAAACTAATGTAACAGCCCTGTAGTGAATCCTCCTTTCATGAAGGTGATGATTTTCTGTTCAGTGTAGAGAGGTGTTGATGTAGTTTGTGCTGCTGTTGATCTATATTGCGTTATCCTGACGGGTGTTTACATTATTTTGTGCACCTTATTTATATCAGTGAAGCTAGGCTAAACAACAAACACCTCTCAGTATGATGCATTACAGTTCAACAGCTGCACAAACTACAGCCTCCACAATGATCATACTACACCTCTGAAATAAAAGCAAAAACTGAACATTATCGCTGTCGTGAAGGGAGGGTTCATTGCAGGACTGTTGTATATTGTACATTAGTTTTAGCTAGGTGTACCTAATAAACTGCCAGCTGATTGTATGTCAGTCATTGGTGTGTTTCAACCAATGCATTCATTTAGCACTATTATTCCACCTTTGTGTGTGGTAACGCCAACAGCAGCATAGACTGCAGAGATGAAGGCCAAGAAGAAGAAGAGACAGGATGACTTCCAGAAGGTCAAGTTAAAGGTGGGAAAGAAGAAGCCCAGAGCTGTTAATGCCACCGACACCACCTTCCGCACAAAGGGGATCCATTTACCTGAACAGTTGAAGAGAGATACAGGTGGTCCCACCACACACAGACAGCTTGGTATCAATGTAAGCTCTTTAACATTCTTTCTTAAACATACCAGCCTGCTTCACTAAAAGTTCTTTTTTTTTTTTGGTAATGCTACAGTCTGTCCTTTTTCTCCCTTTCCCCACACCTAACCAGGACCTCTTGTCTCAGCTCCACCATTACAATGCCAATGTGAAACATGGTGCCTTGTTGGGTTTGAGACAGTTGCTGTCCCTTAATCCATCTCTGTTAGAACAGCATCTGTCCCGTCTGCTTTCTGAAGTGGCAGCTGTTTTCACAGACAAGGATGGCAGTGTTCGTGTGGCAGCTACACGTGTCCTCAGGTTAGAGAAACAGTGATGCAGAAATACAACAATACATTAAAAAGATTATTTGGCTGTTGATTTAATCCCAAATAACACAGTGTCTAAAACTCCTTCCAGGTTCATTGCACAGTCTGTGCTTGCAGAACGAGTTGCCCCATTTTTCCCTCTCCTCAGTGCCCACCTGTCATGTGCCATGACCCACATTGAGGCAGGCATCCACGAGGACGCAATGAACATCCTTGATGTGCTGCTAGAACACTACCCTGCTCTGCTAGCAGCACGACCTGCAGTACTCCTCACTAATTTCCTAGAGTTGATCTCTCACAGACAAAGCAGCGGAGGAACCAAAAAGGCCCAGGATGCCAAGGGTCGAACCTGGGCTCTGTTGATTAATCCTAACAGGGCTATGACTAGCCAACAGTGGCGACTCTCTGTGCTTCTCAGGTATGGAAGCCACATGCGCACAGATTTGGAGAAAAATCTAAAACTCTGGCTGATAACCTTGTGGTTTGTTCAACTTCTATTTCAGGCTTGGGCGTTTTCTGCAGGCAGTAGTTGAGGAAAGACCAGTGCAGGAAGGTGACATGTCTGTCCCAAATGAAGGAGTGTTTGGTTCCAGTGGAGAGGGCCAGGTTACACCTCTGTATCTCAACTGGGAAGAGCTCACCTACAGCAACAGTGGAGTTCAGGTGTTTGAGCATTCTGGGGCCAAACCAACTCCACGTTCTGCCTTTAGGCTCAGGTATGCTAACACAAACTCCCGGAACCATCTAGGATTGAAAATCACAAACAGAATATATATATGAACATAAGATGTAACAAACCTTGTTTAAGTTGAATTTAAATATTCACATTTCATGTTTAACATGTTTTTCTGTTATTATCTCACTGTGTAGACCTGAGGTGGATCCTGCAGCTGCAGTAGGTGAGGGATTAGACTCAGCTGAGGCTGTTCAGAGCTTTGCAGCTACACTGGTGCCTCTTCTGCTTGAAGTGTGGGTTGAGGCCAGCACTAGTGACAGTCCCTGGAACAGTACTGAGGGCGCTCACTTGCTTACCCCAGATGCCATGTCAGTTATGTTCCAGGTGTTGTCTATTTTGCAGCTGCTTAGAAAACTGGCGCCACAACAGGAACACCAGGATGCATTGGTAAGATGGGGGAATACAAAATATCACATATTTTCTTTGTACAGGGTTTACTAAGAAATGACGGTCTGCCTCTGCTACCTTGTCTTTATGCAGGATGCATGGTTTCGTAAAGAATACCTAGGAGATTTTAAGCAACACTTCATGAAAAACTTTCCTTATGGTTCTCGAGACACAACCAAACATAAAAAGAAGGTTGATCTCAAAAGGTAAGAGATGTCAAGCAAACATTTCCCCTGTCCCTTTTGTTCTTGATAAATACCAGAGTCTGTATATAATGTGAGAGGTAGTGAAAATAGGATTCTTATTTCATTGGAAACTCACTCTACATTAGAAGACATTTGATGGAAATGCTGTATGATAAATAATCTAACCAAAACAAAAGTACACTTAACGTTCTGAATGCATGGATCATCAATCTGTAAAATACCCAGGTTTTGGGATAATTACTTTTTGTGAATGTAGGTGTAAACTAGATGTGCTTGCTATCATCTCTCTTCAGGAGTAAACAGACTGCAGCTGTGCCAGGTCTGACTGTGGAGCCTCTGGCCCTAAACATTACACTTTGCCAGGTCATGGTGTCCCTCAGCCAGAGACAGGGGCTCAGCCGAGAGACCGATGGAGACTGGCTGACACCACTGAGGACATTTGTCCGAGACACTCTGGGCAGCGGAGTGAAACTGAGCTACAGGCAGCTGCACATGCTGCTGGGTACTGTGTGGAAGATGGTGCTTACACAGAGGAGCAAAAGTAAGGCTGTGTAGTGGACTTAATGTCTTGACCGATTTAATTAACACAGAAACATGAGTTCAGTTGGATTTAATGAAGTAATGTGGGGCACTGCACACCCACATAATATGCATGTCACTGTCTTTTGACATTTGAAGATTCTGGTTCCAGATACTAGTTTGGGAACTTGATGAAGACAGTCATTTTTAATATTAATATCTTTGTGTGTGCTTGTATTTGTGCAGCAGTGACAGAGGATCTGTTGGCAGCAGTGTATGTCTACTATAAGCAGAGGCACCTGACTCTACAGACACGATCTCTGCTACTGTCTTTCTACAGCAAACTCTACCTGCAGGAACAAGGACACACACATATAGCCAGGTAACCTCAGCCATTGGTTTTCAATGTGTGGGACCTTTAAAGTGAACATTTACAGTTCTTTAATAAACTTAAATGATGTAACCATACTCACAGCAGTAGCCCCATGGTGTTGAACATAAAATCTTTTTTTTATACTAAAACCATAAATACCCTTGCACAGCCAGTCAACACACAAGCTTGGTTTTTGCTATTGGATTTTAATATTCAATCTAATCAAATGAATATTCAGACAATATTCATAAGCACTGCCTCTCAAAACTCCCAAACTTGGATAACAGTTATTAAAAATAGGCATTGTAGATATAAAACGCACAACTATGCAAAAGCAGTTCTTATTCATTACATAGAGCCCATTTAGAAAATTATTTGGATTGGTTGTTTTGGGGAAATTTGACAGAACACCCATTATGGTTTTTTTTTTTTTGTTAAAAATTCTAAACACAGACCAGCAACTGGTTCAGTGGTGCAGTCAAATGCACAAAGGGTTTATAGTGGTCATATGTTGTACAGTGCACACGAAATGACGTCTGACCCACAGTAGTTTCTCTATGATGTTGCCAGGCCCCATTAAGAAAAATGAAATTTATGGGTTAGCTCTGCCAGGCTGGACATCACTGAAAATTCTCTGAAAACTGATTGTTCATATCTGTGCTTGTAAGTGAAGTGGAGGGCAAATAAATTCATCTTATTGCCCTCAGGGTTTGCTGCTGTTCAAGAACAATTTTCTATTATCCCCCAAAATTTTTTTTTACCACAGAGACAATATATTTGTGCTTAGATGCAATAACTGACCCATCAAAGCCTAAATGAACTTTCAAAAGCTTCAGTTGTGCCTTCATATCTGGACACAACATACCTTATTGTAACTCTGGGAGCATTTGATTCACATTCATCTGTATATTATCCCTCTCTGTGTCTCTCTGAAGGAGTAAGGTGCTGTGTCGGTGGCTGGCATCTCTTCCTGTGCAGTTGTCCCAGCTGGGCCACCGTAACCCTGCTCTCTCTGAGCGACTTATTGTTTCCATCCAGGCTGCTGCTTCTCGAGGGAACAAGGACCTGCTCAACAGTTTGCAGACACATGCCTGCAGGCTCTACGGTACATAGGCTGAATTAGAGAGAAAACAGACAGTGGTCACAGACAGTCGGACAGCTTGTCACAGATACATCTGTTTTCATTACATTACCTATAACGATTAATATTAGACACAATGACAGATTTGAAAATCAAAATGTCAGAAATTCACACAGGACTGAAAAGTTTTGTTGCACTGATTTTGAAACGTGTCGTCCCTGTGAACATAACCCAGTCAGTGATGGCCAATAAGGTATTTCTTCATCAGCTGGTAAATACATGATGTACCAACGCTGACTAGGCTTACAGTCAGAGGTGACGTATGTTTACATAGAGAATAGTGCAGCAGCGGTTTCCTGCTCTGTGATTTAGTGTTTACTTTGGGTTTATTTGAAGAAGATGCAGTAAGAGCAACATCTCTGCTCAGGTGTCCACTATTCTAGCATTGAATTAAATTTTAAAAGTACAATATAGTACAGAATGCAGAAACGTTTAGTGCTTGATTACAGAAGAGAAAAATCTTAGACACAAGTTACACCATAGTTTCTCTAGGAGGCAGTATAACTCTATGAGCCTCACCCCAGACCACTTTAGAAAACTGCAACCAGAGTGGGAACCCATAAGACAGTGTGGAAGCCCATTCATATCCACAACTCAGAGGACAGTTGGATAGTTGGGCTGATGTTTTACGGGGGAGGGGGTTCTGATAGAAACTGTGGCAGAGCCAGCATTTCACCATCACAAGACTCCTTTTGTCTGAGGGCTTCTGACATCAGCATGTGCGTCAGAGATAGACAGAACAACACACACACACATTATCTGAACCCTCACTGTAGTGGCCATGCCTGTGTGCCTGTCTTGTTTTTTACTAGTCCGAACATTGTCTGGTTTTACTGTTATCACAGGGTGCAATGCGTTGCTGTCTTTACGTAATTACACATGAAGTGTGCATCTGTGTTTGTGTGCGTGGGAAGATCCACAGGAAGGGGTTGTGGTGCTGTTACCAGCAGAGTCCCAGCAACGAATGGTACAGCTGCTTTACTTCCTACCCAAGATGCCCCAATCTCTTCTGGCCAACCTGAGCGGCTGCTGCACCGCTGGGCGAATCTCTGCTGGCCTTGCTGCCTCTCTGATTCGTATCATACACCTCAGGTGAGCAACAGACCTACAGAGAGCACATGAACTCACTGCACTGGACACTACCGTTTAGGAAAGAGAGATGATGTGACATTTGGGTGAACGCCCCTGTTATGGGAATCAAACATTTAAACTTACCAGTGCACTCTTGCTGGCCTCCATCAGGTGGCAGTGTTGTGCTTTCACAGAGGAGTGCCTGGCATTTGATCTGGTTTCATCCTTCCAGTTGACAGGTGCTACAGTTGATGGCCAGTATATTTGATATTAAACTTACTGGATACAATAAAAGCTTTTTTTGTTCTCTTACACAACTACTATTTTCGTATCCCTGTGAGAGTATGTGTGTGACCTTTTGCTTGTGTCATTGCGGCAGTGTTAAACAAATTTTGAGCGCAAATTTTGAGTTCAAATGGGTTCTGATGTGTGTGTAGTGGGTATGATACAAAGAGCTCTTTGGGAGGCTGGAATGCAGCATCGTCATGGAGTATTGAGAAGACTGTCTGTATGGGCCTCCTGGGCTTCACAAAACACACAGTTATTCACGCACATTTCCTGCTGTTACAGATCTATCCTCCCCTCAGGACGAGGAAGAATTTTTCATAACTCTCTTTCCACACGCTATTATGTTCAATATTCTGCCCTTACAAAACACACATCATGAATAATAATCCTGAGAGATGTGAAAAGGGATATGGAAGTAGAAAATAGTTTTTTGAGAATAATTCTAAGTGTACCAAAAAGTGTAAAATTTGGATGAGCTGCATAAATTGAAAGCTGTTCAACCATTTGATATTGATAAAGTTGTGGATTTTGTCTTGATAATCTTTAAATGTGCTCACTGATTATTATATCCAGGTCATCTCTGAGTGGATGGTCTGTTGGGAACCAGGAAGCAGCTCTGCAGGATGTGGACTACATCAGCTTCCTGTTCTCCACTCTTGCAGGTTTCTCATCCGAAAAGCTTGCCTCCCTGCAGGAGGCTGGTGATGGGACTGCCCTGCCTTCCTCCCCTCTCTCACCCCTAAGCCTCTACCCCACCATACTGGAGCAGTTCACCCACCACTGGGACATTGTTGAGGTGCGTTCGCTGAACTTGAGCGTGAGCTTAAACTTCACAAACCTCTTACTAAAACCGCTGCCGTTTTGAAACACCAGAGAGTAGGATGGGAAGGAAGGGGGAAAACGACATTGTTTTAAATATTGAAAATTGAAATTGCTGATATTCTGGACACAGCTGTGGCCTTTCAGTCCCCCCCGCCGCCGGTCTCTCTCTGTCTCTTATGACAGAGGGAGCTCAGAGGGTGGAAGGTTTATCATGGCACACCAGCTGAGAGGGGAACCTTTATCGCGTTGCACAGGTTGGACGTGCATGGTTATCGGGCATAGCAGATATGCACAAATGCTAATGAGAGCCCACGGCATGATGGGAGTGTGACATTTCTGCACAGAAATTACAGTTAACATAACTATGCCCTAAGGCAAGTGTGTGTGAGTGTGTGAGCAAGTGGGAGGCTTATAATCACTAATTCAGCTCCTCAATTAAGGCCTCAGATCCTGCCTCACTCATCTCCCTGTCTGAGTCAATCACAGACAAGTGGTGGGAAGGAGGAGGGAGAGGACACATGGTGGCAAGGGGGGAGGCATTAAGGGACGGACTGTGTCAACTCTGGTTCAACTAATGAGGTGGGATTGTTTTTAATGATGGGGAGAATGCCAACAGGTGCACAGTCCAGACACACACTGGCTCATACCGACTTCTGTACTTCAGCACACACACACGTCTCAATTTGATAAAACCTAATGAGAAATTTGATTTGGATTTAAAGTTAATGAGGAAAAGCTGGGCCTTATTTTTCACTTTTAAAAAGTTGGTGGCATGGCACTTCTTAGGCCTGAAACCAGTCCTGCCTCAATCCAAGAAAGAATGAAATTTTGATGCTTTCGTTTCTTTGGTATAAAGGCACAATGAGCACATAAGTTCATCCAGACAGAAATGTAGAAGTACTCTGATGTGCTTTTGTTGTGCTCTAATGCTATGTTCATATAGTGTACAATAGTAATGTGGTAAAATGCAGGTTAAAGCCGTTGTAGACAGTTTTTTCTTTATTCATACTTTATCCATCTCTCATTTACATCATTATTGCGGTTTCTTTCAACTGTCTACCATTATTTATTCAAAAAACAATTTCCCCGTGTATCAGCTCTAAATGTATGACATTACACACAATAAAGTTCGGCAAATGGAGAACAGGGTTTGGTTCAGTGTATCAGGTGCTCTGTGCCAGTTATATGAAAATTATCCCAAGAAAAGAATCTACACATCACAGCTCCCGATCCAGTGAGATTCCATTCTGCAAAGATTTAACACATTTTGCAAAAAAAATATTCAGAGGGGAAAACATTTCATATCGTCCAATTGAAAGCACATCTGTTGTCTAAACACTGGTTTCATTGCATTGGTTAAAAAAAAAAATTCTGTGAGTTTGCAAGCAGAATACCAAATAAGGAATTTTATTGAAAAAGCATATGTAAGATATGAGTTCTTTGTTAATACTTAATAATTGTTTTATTTGTAGGAAGTGTGTCACTGTCTGGAAACTCTGGGTTCAAAGTCATATTGCTTTGACATCCTGCAAAATGGCATCTGCAAATACCTGGTGAGAAACTGCTTTGACTGAACAGGAAAATCAAGGCTTTCTGTCCTGTTTTAGTGTTTCTATGCTTTATTGCTTGAATTTGTATTTTTTAAATGTTAGTCCTGTTGTTTTTATTTGTAAGCATAATGTCCTGTACATTTGGTGTGTGTCTCTCTCAGACTAAACTGGGGGTGGTTCCTGACAGTATGGCATCCGGGCTGCTCAGAGCAGTGTCCAGATTTTTGGACCTTTCTGTCCTGCCCATTGAGCCTGTACTGCGCTTCTTGTCTCAGTGCTGCCTCAGCCTGCTGGCTCTGCTCGTCATCCTCCAGCAGGAAGCACCTGCTGAAACCAACCACAAAAGGTGTGCGCTGAAAGACTTCACACCTTTGCTCATCTGCAAATGATCTCCTGTTGATAGCAGTCTTGACCTTAGGAGTAGCAGTTGTGACAAAGGTACAGAAGTTGGGTTTAAAAAAACCTTTGTGACTCATTTGCAGGGAGGCAATTTGGGGCGCTTGTGTGACGGCGTTGAGCACCGTTCCCCGCCTGCTGCGGATGGTCCTGCAGCTGTTGCGTGTTGGAGATCTGAGTGAGGAGGAACTGCCGCAGCTCGGACAAGTCCTGTCGATGCTGCTGCAACACACGCCGATCCACAACCAGCTGCTGGCCAACGCCACTTTGCTACAAGAGATCATGCAACACCTGACGGTATCACAGCACACACACATGTAGTTCATAGGGACAGAATTCAAGGTTTTTGTACAGTTTGGATGTAAGGCTGCCCCATGGTAGAGGCTGATCACCTGATAAACTTTTGTCTGTGTGTGCTTCAGAGGTACTCCAGAGGAGCGACCAGGGAACAGTGGCTGACAGACCTGCTCTACTATTACAGCATCACTGTGGCTCACAGCTCTTCCACTCACCGTGGAAATCTGGGTCTTAGAGGCATGTACTGACCGATGCACTCATCAGACAAGTACCTCGTATGTTGCTCAGTTCATCACGTCAAAACATCTTTCAGTCACTTTCACAAACAAACCACTTATGACAAGACTTTCAGACAGCAGAGGTGTGTTTTTTAGTGTGAGTGATAACAGATACTCTAGTGTTGTTTTTAAGAACTTCTCAGTACAAAGAGCTTATTCAATGTTTCTCAAGCCTCTTCTTTAACTGTTTTCCTTTTGCCTCTTCATGGTATCAATGCTGAATGTTGTCTAGTGCTTACTGACTTACCTGGTGACTTTTAATAAAAAATAAAAAAAAAACAAAGGGGAAAAAAAAAACAATAAAGTTAAATCAAAGTCACAGCCTTTTGTTTCAGTTTTTCTTTTAATAGTTTCTATAATACAATAAAAAAGCAAGAAAACATAAGGCACATAAAATTACACAGTAAGGATTATTTTTGTGTAAATAAAACCTGCATAGCTCAGAAATATATCTTCTCTTGAGAGGGAAAGCACTTGAAACCCAGACTAATGTGTAGAAAGTAACGTGTGTGTGTGTGTGTGTGTGTGGCTGCAGGTGGCCTATCTGTATGACCGGCTGTTGATAGACTGCCTCATTCTCCACAGCAGGAGGAAAGGTTATCTCAGTGTGTATACGGGAGCAGTGGAGAACGGGGGAGATGGAGTGTGTATGTGTTCCTTCCACAATGGATGAAAGGTTATCTTTTACACACGCCATTTCTGTAGACTTAACCCCTCCCTTTGAGGTCATGGCTCTGATGTCATATGGCTTAATTTTAGAAAGCTTGGCACATTGACTGAACAATGTGTATAGTAATTCTATAGAGGTAAGGCTGCCAGCTAGCTGAGAAATCAAAGAACATGAGATGTGTGTGTGTGTGTGTGTCATGTCAGTGTTTTCCCCGGCCTCTGGTCCCCTGTCCAGCGCTCTGTGGTCTCAGGTGGTAAGAGTACTGCTTGGCTTGATTCACCACATCAGTCAGGTGTACACAGTCTATACCACTCACTATAAAATAAGCACATCAAATGACCTTTTAGAAACTTCAACTTGATTACAAGTATGTGTTTGAATATGTCCACACACTTACATTGGCTCTGTGTGCGTAGCGGCAGATCCAGGCGCAGCTGAGACTGTGCTCCCCGAAGTGAGCGCCCTCGTCGGGCCATGGAGTTGCCTAAAAGACAAAGAAATGTTGGAATCGCCATTTAGAATTGCAGTCAAATTGTGTGAACAGTTTCTGAATTCAAACTGGTGGTGCTGCATAATAAAGCCTTGGACACTCCTGTAACTGGTTAGTCTAGCCAAGTTACACAACCACAGTTTTTCAAGGTGTAGTCTTTATGTACTAATGCAGCAGTCAGGTAACTAGTGGTGACCCTGTGGCTCTACCTGACACCTTATACAGACTATTGTTCCCCAGCTTTGGCGCAGTGGTTAGAGCACTGGTCTTGTAAACCAGGGGTCGTGAGTTCAAATCTCTCTGCGGCCTTCATTTCATACATTTTTCCTTAATAAAACACTTAAATAACATTAAAATGGCTGACTGTGTATTTAATAAGGATAATCACCTTTATTCAGTCAAATACGTTACACACAAGGAATCTGTTTCCGGTACAGAACCGAGGAAGCCATCTGCAGCACAAACTCACACCGATGCTGTGGGGGTTCAGTGTCTTGCTTTGACACATGGACTGCAGGCACCGAGATTCGAACCTCCAACCCTCCAGTTGAGAGATGACTTCTCTACCCATTGAGCCACAGTCACCCCCAAAATTAACCATCCCTGACCGGGAATTGAACCCGGGCCACTCATTTAAGACACAGAGGTGGTTCAACAGATTGAATGCTAATTCATGAACAATTTGACCTTTAAAATGCATTAGAATTACTTTTCTACATTACAATTGAATAATCTCCCTACATGTCTGAAGTCAATCTTGTCAGAGAACTGGTCTCAGTAACTGGTAGTCTGTTTTATGTTATAAAGAAAGCTTAGGGCTTGTAAGCTTCACCACTCCACTTTTACAGGGTTGGAGAACTGCAGTGGCTTTTACTCAAATTTCTCCATGTGTATAGCTGTAAATGAACAGATATGAATGCATTTGAGATAAAAAAAAAAAAAAAGACAAATTATCAGGCTATTTCAAAAGATGGTTTGACAATTAGATGAGCGGTGTGGCCCTAGTGTTGTATGTCAAATGTCTGTCTACTTTTTGAGAAATATAAAAGTGAGAGTATGTCATGAATGTGTATGTGTGTGTCTGCATGGGCGGGTGTGGAGTAGGGGTGTTTTTTGTGTGTGTTCTGCAGATAGCTCTAAGCCGTAGTCTGACATTCCCACTGACAGCTCTGAACTTTTCACAGTGCCAGGACTGTCAGGGCGAGAATAGGAAGAGGGAGGGAGGTGAGGTGAGAAGTGGGAGGGGAAAACCACGTCAGAAGGATGGGTTAGAGTGAGGAGTTTTTTTTTGTTGTTGTTGTTTTTCCCCCTTTGGGGTGGGGGTGCTTGTATGTTTTGGCACAGCAAGGTTTCTGCCCATCCTCCCATCATCACCTGGTGATGTGTGATGAAGGTCAGACCTACCTGGTGGTGAAACCCTACCAGATGTTCCCCACAGGCAATGTCTGTATGTGGACACTACTTACTGTTCCCAGAATTGGTCACCTATAGTGTGTTCCACACTTTTGTGACAGCCATCCTGATTTCCAACTACTGGCTTTCATCGCACAAAATCTCAGTCAGTGCAATGTCAGGGTTGGAGTGTAATTTAAGAGCTATAGTTTTGATTACAGGCTATAGTAACACAAAATCATGTGGGGTGGAAACCTGCTGCACAGGTTCATCCTCGGGAGAACACTGGGGCAGTTCTCAGCCATGACATTCACTGGGCACCCTGGGTTTAAAGTGGCTAACTAAGAACTGTAACACATTCAACTAGTACAACTGTTCCTTCATCAATAGAAGTAACAAAAATGGCCAGGGAGTGTATAAAAAAAAAAAGTTATAGTAAAATAATGAAAATCATATCAGTGCAAAAGTTTTTCATCTCCCTTTATGAAATGTTCTCTAATATTTTGTATATCTTCCCTATCCTCCTCCAACCTCTTTGGGTACCCTCTGAAGAGCATTTGTGTTCATTTAGGTGTAATTTCAGCCCATTCTTCATGGCCTACTTGTTCCAAGTCTACCAGATTGCTTGGTTGTCTGCTATGTACAGCCCTCTTCAAATCGATCCACAGATTTTCATTTATACTCAAGTTTGGAGACCTGGAAGGTCATGGTAAAACATTCAACTTGTTCTTTTTAAACCATTCCTGAGCTGACCTTGCTCTGTGCTTGGGATCGCTGTCTTTCTGAAGGATCCACTGCCTCTTCATTTTTAGCTTTCTAACTGAAGGCAGGAGGCTTTGCTTTAAAATCTTTGGATATTGGTCTGCATTCCCTTTTCCTTCTGCTTTATGCAGAGATCCAGTGCCTGATGCAGACATACACCCCCATGTTTGACTATGGGAATGATGTTCCTCTCCTCGTAGGCAAGTTTTTTTCCCACCAGACATACCTGTGCAAATTATGACCAAATCATTTAACTTTGGTCTTAGCAGACCACATAGTCTTGCTCCTTAGCAAACTCCAAGCATGCTGCCTTATGTGTAGAAGTAAGCAATGGCTTTCTGCCTGCTTTTCTCCCAAACAATCCAGATTTGTGCAGACTATGCTTGACTGTGGAGATGTAGGCTCTTATTCCAGTTGCCTCTAAGGACTTTGTCAGGTCCTCTGCTGTTTGTTTTGGATTCTTACATAGTGCTCAAGCGCCTCTTTCAGTTACAGTATCGGTGAAAATCTGTGGATCGATATGAAGAGGGATGTACTGTACATAGCAGACAACTAAGCAATCTGGTAGACAAGTAGGCCATGAAAACTGGGCTAAAATGAAGGGATACAAATGCTGCTCAGAGGGTACCCAAAGAGGTTGGAGGACATACAAAGTATTAAAGAACATTTCATAAAAACTTATGCACTGATATGATTTTCATTGTTTTACTATAACTTTGTTTTTGTTTTACTATAACTTTGTTTTTATACACTCCCTGGCCATTTTTGTTACTTCTGTTGATGAAGGAACAGTTATATTAGCTGAATGTGGATTAAATATGTTGACAAAAAAAATTGTTTTACTCCTTTTTCCATTTCAGACTAAGAGGATGCAAAGTTCTGCACCCAAATGTATCTCCCACGTCATTGCTGTAAATGATCTCACCATAGATACTTTGGAGCATTGAGCTCTTACTCGCTGCTGGTTTAGCAGGTGGAGCTCTGATTTCCATCTTCCGGTTATGGGTGTGGTTTGAATCACTTGACCTCCCCTCTTCCTGGGCCTTAACCTCTCTCCGTCTGCGTGTGTGAAACCTGCTGACACACATCCATGCAAGTGCATATGCATACATGCTGTTCAATTAAAAAAAAAAAACACTCGGACATTGTTCAGCGATCTAAAAGTTGGCAAGTCTTCACACTAATACTCAGTGTGAACAAAGTTAACTCAAGGCAGTTAACAGGCAGAACACATAGAATGTAATTGTGAAGCTGAATGGAAACAGAGGGCTTCCTGCAGTGGACTGACAGCCTCTAAGAGAAACACAGTGTGTGTAAGAGGGAGAGAAAAGAACAGCAAGGCTGCTGGTAGCTATTATAGCAGCACGACCGAACCTAACCTCTTGTTACACCAGTATGAAAGTTCTAGATTATAGCCTGTCTGTCCCTTGCCTCCGTGTCTCACCCATCTCCCACGCTCTCCCTCTGCTGCACAAGTATTGATGGTAGACCCAAGATGGGGAGTATTGCAGGAGAGATAAGAATCGGTTAGCATAAATGTGGGAGAGGGCACATGTGGGCACCACATGGCACTGCCAAGCTCCCACAGCCACAGAAGCTTCAGCTGCTGAGCACCACCCCAGGTGCAGACAGAAATGCACACATGTAAACTAACCTTCGCCAGGCTTGCTGGATGATGTGTGCAGCCTCGTTCCTCCTGCGCTGTTCTTTGTCGTATCCCCTGCGTGTGCGTGTTGAGATGGGTGCTTGACTGGCAGACTGAGTCTTTTTCAAAGAGCTTCTGTGGTCTAAAGATGAACTGCTTCTTACTGAGGGAGTGCGAGTTTGGTCTTTGGTAGCAACCCTCTCGAAATTTTGGTTTCTGTGCTTTTGTGGAGAGGTGCGAGTCTTTCCGGGGACAGTCTGCAAACTCATGTGAGTGTCTTTCTTTTTTAAAGGGATGCATTCTCTGGCACTAACCTCAGTTTGACCCATAGTGGAGATAACTGAGGAAGGAATGTCTGAGTAAGATCTTTCCCTGATTTTGGGCATGGAGGGGGGTCTTGGTTTGAGGCTGGGTGGCTGGCTGCAGCTGACAGGTGAGAGAAGTTCCTTCAGCCCAATGGAGTGCGGCACACCAGGTACAGCGTCGCTAGTCACATGACTGTGGTGGCTCCAAGTTTCAGGAGCCTCATGTGATTCGGTTGCTTTACTTCTTCTGGAGGATCTGCTCTTGTGGGCTTGGGGTTGAGGTTGGGGTAAATTCAACATTTGATTAAAAACATTTCTCTGACAAAAATTCATTTTACACTCTAATGATAAAGCAGTACCATTAACTGTCAACCTATCATCACTCACAACTCAAACTAAAAGCAGCACCGTAACAACTTTAGGAATTTCTGCCTATTTATACCTTTGTGCCGTTCCTCTTTGCTTTTTGTGTGTTCAGCTTTGGATGATTTCTTGGTTTCCACCACTGAGTCATTCAGGGATAGGTCCTCTATAATCTTCACTAATGACAGCTTCTCCTGCTCCACTTTCACCAGTGAAACCTTCAGTTTCTCTGCAGCAGACACTGAACCTTGCTGCACGGCCTCCCTTCTCCGCTGTTCTTCCTCTCGTTTCCTAAATACAAAGAAAAGTCAGACCTCATCATGGTATACAGTTTTGTGTGAAATGCCCTACATGAATAGCCAAGGTCAGCCATAGGTCTATTAGTGTAAATAACTGTTCAACTTGGTTTTCTATTTTATTTTAGTTTCCTAAATGGTATGGCATTAAATACTAGGTGAGAGAGAAACAGTAATTTGATTTTCTGTATGTCCAGCATATATAGTGAATTGACAATAAAAATCTTTGATCTTGATCTATTGTGGTACAATATCTGATTAGATGGAAAGATGTAGAATAGTTTGAGTACTTTGTAAGAAAAACATCTCACAATAGATTTATATCTCAGTAAAACTGTCAGTACTAAATACCAAGAAAAAAAAGTCAATGTGCCCTCTTAAAACAAATGTACTCCTGAAAAGCACTGTGTAAGACAATAAAGGTGAGACTGGTGAGCAAATGACAAATGGAAAACAAGCAAAAAGAAAAAGACAGGTGGAAGACATATGTGTGTGCACAAATGACAGAGAAAGATAGATACGCAGAGTGTGACCGTTCCTACATCCTGGAAAAAGGATGACGGACCGATAATGGAGACCGAAACAGGAATGAGAGATGAACACGGTGCATGTAAATGTTATATCTAACAGGTATTGTGTAGCAAAGGTGGATGCTAATGAGTGCCTCACACTGAACTCAAACAACTGGAAAGTACAAGGCTTCAGTATACATGTTGCTTTGTGTATGTCTCAGTTCACAATCTTGTAAATATGTTTTCATGTGTGCATGCTCACTTGGCTGCATCCTTACGCAGCTGCTCATGCCTCATGAGGAGCTGCTTTCTCTCCCTGAATGCCTTGCGGACGGTGTAGCCCTTGTAGACGGCCTGGATGGAGGCAGCAGCGATGTCCTGGATGGCCGCTATGGACAGAGCGCCGTGCTCCAGCATGAACTGAGTCACCTCACTGTGCCCCCCGAGCAGAGCATAGTCCAGGGGTGTGTACCTACATACACACAAACACCAGTGTCATTCATGGATTTATTTTCCCACTTGCACTTTACTGTCTCCTCACATCTTCTGCCTCCAAGACTAGTTCTCATCTCACCTCTCCTCGGTATGCTCCATGTGGTTAGGGAAGGCATTGTAGCCCACCAGCAGTTTCACAGCATCCAGGTAGCCATTGTTACATGACCAGTGGAGAGCTGTGCGCCCCTGTGCAACCACAGAAAAAAAGCATTGATTTACAGTGAAGATGTGTGCAAAAGCTCAGAAAACACAGATGGGTTGGTGCGTTTGTGGATATATGAGAAATTTTTACCTCCTTGTCCTGAATATTTGGATCAGCGTTGTTCTCCATGAGAACTGCCATGCAGGTGATGTAGCCGCCATATGCAGCACACTGCAGAGGAGTCCGTCCTGCCTGGTCCTGTTCAGCAGTAGTCACAAATTTATCAGTCTGCATTTATGAGGTCAATCATGATTATATACTAACTGCTTGTGTAGTACACAGGAGAATATAAATCTACATTTATCCTCATTTATTCTTTGGTTCATAAATATTAAACAAAGACTTAGATCTTCAACTGCTTCTGTGTTTGTGCATTAGTACCTGTACATTAGGACTAATCCCGTTCTCCATCAGTATCTGGCAGACTTCAGCATTACCTCCTAGAGCTGCCCAGTGCAGAGCAGTGTGACCATCCACATCTACTAGGTCCACTTGTGCAGAACCTTGATTGAATACATTTACATTTCAGTTGAGACATGTCACTCAAATAATCTACATTTCCTACATCATGGGCTATAGACATGTATATTACCATGAGTCTACAATGCTCGACGAAGATGAATACTCAGAATACAGTGCTACTGAAAATGTGAACGTGTAGTTACTGGAATGTTTGCACATACAGTATGTATCGACAGCACCTACCTTTGATGAGTGTGAGTATGACATCTCTGTGTCCCATCTCGCAGGCGCGAAACAGCGGCGTGTGTTTCATCACATCCAGAGAGTCGACCATCGCTCCTTTCTCCAGCAGCAGCTTCACTGTACTCACATGGCCTGACAGGGAGGCTGCATGGAGTGCTATGTGAACACACACACATACACATGAAAAATAGACATAAAAATATGAGGTCCTGAGTCTAACTGGACAATAAACAAGCTCAGGACACCTGCTGCTTCTTTGTTCATTCACCCCTTGACTGCAGCTCCTCTCCAGCTATGGCTAAAGCCTGGTCAATAGACAGTTAAAAAGAGAGAAATTTAATGAGGAGCAATACACTTAAGCCTCCTTGTGGCTACCCCCTCCAGTCCCCAGACAGTACAGAATAGAGTCAAGTGCATGGAAGTGATCTAGACACCAGTCCGCTCTACATCCCTGCACACTGTCTCATTAGCATGACTCAACCCTTATATGTTATCCATGCATAAAAAATGATCGCCTGAGCAAAGGGGCTATCACCGTGGAGATTGTGTCCAAACAGCCCCAAGGGGTCAGAGTGTGGCAGTAAGTCCTGTGTGTCTGCATGTGTTTGTTTGTCACAGGATAGTGCTGGCAGTGCTGCGAGTCTATTCAGCAAGCTCACACTAATTTTGCTGACAGTATAACTTCCCTCTCTCCCTGAGTCTTATGGTCTCTCTCTCTAGTATCTTGGGGGGAACTCCCTGTGACATCACTATTCCTAACCTACAACAAGAAACAGGCCATGCTCTGAAAGGACAAACAGAGCAAGAATAAAAGTGTGTGTGCTTGCCTATGACCTGGGCACGTATGTCACCATGCCCTGGAAGCACACAGCCGTTCGAAGCAGTTCTTGTTTCTCAGGCTCACCGGTGCCTCCGTACTTGTCAGCCATGCTGATATCAATATGAGGGGTTAGGGCCAGCATGGTGCAGATGACGTCATCACTGCCCTTCCCAGCAGCCCACATGAAGGCTGTCCGTCCCTCCAGGTCAGGTTCATCCTTCACCGAGGGGTGGGACAGAAACACACCCACTGTCTCCTACATACATGGAAAGAAGTTACATTTTAGTTTATGGGACATTATAAAAAAGCAAACTGACACACATCAAAGATGAGACAATAAATGAGTGTAATTCCATATTTTATGACAGACCAATAAAATAATATAATCATTAAAAAAAATCCCTCCAAATCAAACTGCAAATTCATGTATACATAACATAAGCAGAATAATACACAGACATTCACACAAATTCACCAAAAGCCATAATTTGACCTTTTTAAAAATTAGATGCATACATGAGTAACTGCAACTTCTTACTTCTAAACTCTGACAAAACTGAAGTTATTGTGCTTGGGCCTAAAAAACCTTAGAAATCTGCTGTCTAATCATATAGTTACTTTAGATGACATAGCTCTCGCCTCCAGTACTACTGTGAGGAACCTTGGAGTCATCTTTGATCAGAATATGTCCTTTAAATCACATATAAACCAAGTCTCTAGAACTTCCTTCTTTCACCTGCACAATATTGCAAAAATCAGGAGCATCCTGTCTCAAAGTGATGCTGAAAAACTGGTCCATGCATTTGTTACTTCCAGGCTGGACTACTGTAACTCTTTACTATCAGGATGTCCCAATAATTCCCTAAAAAGCCTCCAGCTAATCCAAAATGCTGCAGCCAGAGTACTGACAGGAACTAGCAAGAGAGATCATATCTCTCCCATATTAGCTTCTCTCCACTGGCTCCCTGTAAAATTCAGAATAGAATTCAAAATCCTTCTCCTAACATACAAAGCCCTTAATGACAAGGCTCCATCATATCTTAAAGACCTCGTAGAGCCTTATCATCCTAACAGAGCACTTCACTCTCAGAGTGCAGGTTTACTTGTGGTTCCTAGAGTCCACAGAAGCAGAATAGGAGGCAGAGCCTTTAGCTATCAAGCTCCTCTCCTATGGAACCAACTCCCAGTCTCAGTTCGGGAGGCGGACACCCTCTCTACCTTTAAGATTAGACTTAAGACGTTCCTTTTTGATAAAGCTTATAGTTAGGGCTGAGCCTTCCCTTAGTTATGCTGCTATAGGCCTAGGCTGCTGGGGGCCCCATGATGCTCTGAGTTTCTCTCCTAATGAAAGTTATTGAGAAGAAATTGGACGAAGTCAAGAAAGATTACAAACCAGACGATGCTATCCAGTATGTAAAAGAACTGTTATCAGCTATGGGACAGACAAAGTTTCAAGACGACGCTGGGGAGGGGCACAATTTTTCTTGCCTCTCGAGCCTGAGAGAAGAACACGAGGAGCTGCAGGAGGTTTCTTTCGTTAAAGGGAGTTTTTCCTCCCCACTGTCGCCCAGTGCTTGCTCAAGGGGGATTTGTTGGGTTTTCCCTATGTAATAATATTGATAACAGTAAGGTCTAGACCTTACTTTGTAAAGTGTCCTGAGATGACTTTTGTTGTGATTTGGCGCTATACAAATAAAATTTGATTTGATTTGATTTGATGACAGTCAATCATATAAAACCTTAACATTTGCAACAGTACATTTTCAGAAAGATATGGAACATTACACATTATCTATCTGGATAAAGTGGCATAAAGTGACACAATGACTTGGCAGGTTTTCTAGCTTTGTGTGTATGACTCACCGCATTGTTGCTCTGAGCCCCGTAGTGCAGAGGTGTTGCTCCTTGGCTATCTGAGGGAATAGTGCCTGATGTGTTTCTCTCAAGCAGCAGGTGCACAATTTTTGCATGGCCTGAAAAACAGGTTTACATTACTAGGACATGAAGGTGGCAAGGAATGACGAGGATAATTAAGGAGCTTAAACACACATCAACATGAATCAACTGTCACTATTTACACAATTCATAGCTACTGTATTTGTCTTTGTATGGTGCTATAAAAACAGACAGTAAGAACCATAAACCCAAAGAAGATTAAACTGTGCTTTGAGCTGCATGCTAACATGATTGAAATGACAGTATCAACATGCTAATGTGGGTGACACAGTGGTTAGCACTGTTGCCTCACAGCAAGAAGGTTCCAGGTTTGAGTCTCAGCCACCCTGTGCCTTTCTGTGGGGAGATTTCATGTTCTCACTGTGCCTGTGTGGGTTCTCTCCGGGTACTCCGGCTTCCTCCCACAGTCCAAAGACTTGCAGCTTAGGTTGATTGGTGACTCTAAATTGCCCGTAGGAGTGAGTATGTGTGGTTGTTTGTCTACATGTCGGCCCTGTGATAGACTGGTGACCTGTCCAGTCCAGTGCCCAATGTCAGCTGGGATTGGCTTCTGTTCAGGAATAAGCGGTATAGATAATGGATGGAACATGCTAATGATAAGCAAGTATAACATTTAACATCTTGTCATCACAGTTTAACATGTTAGCATGCTAACCCTTGCTCATTAGCACTAAACACAAAGTAGAGTTAAGGCAGATGGGAATGTCAGCTGCTAGTGGCACCAGAGGAACAGACAGGTTCATCAAAGTCAGTAGGATTGATTGTCAGTGACCACGGATAACTGTAAAAAATTTCAAGATGATAAATCCAATTTTTGTTGAGATATTTCAGTGTGGGTAATAACTAGTCCATTTTGACTGAGACGTAATTTCCACATAGCCAGAAATCTGCATTTGCATGTGTAGCTTTCATTCAAGCTGCAGTAGGCCAAATTCAGGAAGTGCCCTCACTCACCGAGCAGAGCAGCCCAGTGCAGCGGTGTTCTGAAGAGGTTATCGTAAGCTGTCACATTACAGCCCTGGTAAGATGTTAGCACCTCCACCACTGCCTCGTTACCATCGGCAACAGCAAAGTGCAGAGGCGTCCGCCCCTCGTAGTCCTGCCAGTTCAACAGGGACTCGGTGGGAGCTGCCTCCTTCACACATAAACACACACACAAGACAACCGCAGAAAAGAAAGACATGCAGAAGGACAGGTGAGGATGGAGGATGACGAGGCTGACAGGTTTTGCTGCGTATATGTGTGTGTGCACTATAGTGTGTACCAGTATACAGCGGACAGTTTGTGTGGCGCTGGGCTCCTGACTGTGCGCGGCCCAGTGCAGTGGGATCTTGCCTTCGCTGTCTGGGATGCCAATGTTGGAATCATGCTTGATCAGAAGGCGAACGTGTTCTGGTCGGTTATAAAACGCTGACCAGTGGAGAGCAGTTTGCTATAAAGAGAGAAATGAAAAGGGAGACAAAGATGGTGAAGAGCGCTGAAATCAGGTTTGAGGTTTCCATTTATGTAAAAAAAAAACATTACTCCACTATGACATGGCCAGGAAATTTTATGGCAATGCGCTACACAAAGCTCATATTGAAGATCCAACAATGAGCTGAGATTGTAACCCAGATAGTGCCTTCATGACGGCCACTGAGCTGTTCTGAGATTTGCTGAAACTACTGTCATCTGACACGATGATGCATATTGGATTATTATCTAGCTAACTACTGATGCCAGATACATATCATTTCCAGAAGACAAAGGAGACTGTGTGTTTCTGTATTTGTAGTCTTATCATCAGAACAAGCTGCAGATTGTTAAATCATTTGCTGCCGTGTGAGTGTGCCTCTAGGTGTTTATGTTTGACCTAAAATTCGTGCTGTTTCTAAGAAACTGTCTTCAGTCTCTTTGCAGATTATTGATCAGATGCCCACATTAGCTGGTTTCTGTCTGAGGACAAACTATGGACAGTTGGGAAGACAACAACCTGTTTGTGTGTATCTGTACAGTAGCACCTTATTTTTGTCTTGTGTGTCAACCTCTCCTGGCCCGATGTGTTTGAGCAGCAGGGCGAGGGCTTTTGGGGAGGGGTGTCGGGTGGCCAGGTGGAGCGGGGTCATTCCCTCTAAATCTTTCTGCAACCAGTTAGCACGCCTAGACAGCAGCAGTTTCAGGAAACGCACATTCCCCTACAGCACACACGCACAAACATGAAAAGCTGTGTTAAAAAAAGTAGCTCAGAAATCATAAATTCTCCTTAATATTAGTCATAAACCAGTAGCAATGACACACACACACACAGACTCCCTAGGCTTTTAGCAGTGTCTGCTTCAATCCGCAGGTCATCCATCTTCGTTCCCTGCTGCTGCCTCTCTGCTCAGTGTGCGAGATGAGCTGTTAAACAGTAAACAGCAACTTTGTGGCCTGACAGAGCAGCTCCTTTCTGCCTGCCATCCCCTCCACATCATCATTGTCATCCTCGGTGTTGGTCTCTCACCACCAGGCCGCAGGGTGATGTATTGTGCAACAGCTGTCGAAGGACTGCAGGGTGTGTGTGTGTGTGTCCACGCAGGCACAACCGAGTACACGTGTTAATGTGTTTTACATATTTGCTATCCTGTGACCACAGCGTCACAGTCTGACAGATCTATCTTGTGTGTGAGCATGCATCTAGACTGTGTGTATGTGTTCCTGTCCTCCCTATTCTCAGTCCAATTAGATTGGTAATCCCTGGCCTCTTTCGCTGTCTTAGCCACTTATTGATCAGATGTCAAAGAGACAGGGCTTCCTACCACTAGCATCCCCCATCACACACACACACACACACACACACACACTTCCCATCTATGAGACAAACCCCAACACCCTATTACCTCCACTCTGTCTTCAATGATATGATGATCCTGTGTCAGTACACTCCCATAGAAGAAGGTACCAACAAACAGATGACTTGTAAAGAGGTATTAGCCCATTAGTACATCCCACTGTTCTCCTGCCACACTCCTCTGCAAAGAACAGACCACCCTGTCTGGAGGTGTTTAACCTTGTCTCCTCAGACTCTTCCTAAGTCGACTCAAGTAAAAAGCACATTAAGGTTTTAGTTCCCAAAATGCTGTTAAACGTTATCCAAGCAGAATGATTGTTTATTTATAATAGTGTGTGTAAGTGAAAGTCATAGCTACAGCCTTTGTGTGGCTCAGAAATCGGTTGATATTTCCCACCACAAGCCCTAAGGCCATAGCTACAGCCGCTAGGGGGCACTGGCTTCCCACAGGAGCTTATGGAGTGTCAGAATTTCTCTTTTTGCCATTCAATCTTTATGAGATCCCACCTAGTCTTCATATTCTTTTCACCTTTATAAATCCATCCGCATCCATTCATTTGAAATGCTTGTCAATTTTATGCCATAAAGACAGCTACAACAGGTGTAACTGTCACCATTTCTTTGTGCTCCTTAATAGATAGGTTTATTTGTGACCATACCTTCTGTGCTGCAAGGTGCAGAGCGGTGCGCTGGCTGTGGTCGGCCTTGTTGACCGAAGCCCCAGCCTTCAAAAGAATCTCTGCACAATCCAGGCGGTCAGCTAGCACACAGTACATTAAAGGGGTACGGCCAAACTGGTCCTCACGGTCCCGCAGTGAGGGCTCTGCTACACAAGCACACAGATACATACAAACAAAGCACAGCTGATGATTCAGCCAAGAGGGTACGCCTTAATAGAGACTAAGATTAGGGTCAATATGCAGGCAAAATACAGTCATGTGGCTTGTGGCAGAATATGTTCAGAACAGTTTTTAAAAGGAAACTCTCTGTGCTTAAAACACAGTCTTTTACAGCTTCAGTTCAATAAGAATTCCACTTACCATTTTCTAAATAAAATTGATTTAATTGGAGCAGCTGGGTAACACATAAACTTAGGGCCATGTTGCCTTTATGTGAAAATTAACTCACAATTTGCCACAATCATTTGACACACTTCATGTATTTTTAGCCAGAGCCAAACAAGCTTCTCCATATTCAAGATTAAATGATCAGTGTGGCTAAATTTGAAGATACTTTTATAGAGGAGCAGAGCATTATTTAACAGAAAGACCACAGTTCCAGCTTCCATGCAGTCGAACACTTGCCCTGCTGTAGTTTCTATGTGCAAAACCCCAAAGCCCACCCAGCTGCGGCAGCTGACCCTGATGGGATAAATGCAACAAAAACTTCCTTATAGAAAAACAAAAAAGCCAAAAATGTTGAACGTTTGAACCCTGTGTGGTCTGTAGTGAATAAACAATATGTTTTAGCTGACATGTGCTGCTTACCTGTGATGAGTTTGAGGAGTGCACTCCTGTTTCCATTGACAGCTGCAGCATGAACCTGGGAGCCCAGAGAGGCTGGTCCCAGACCAGACGTCGCTGAGGCCTGCAACACAAACAAATGAAAGGTCACAACTCAACCTGCCACAACATAAACTCAGCTTACTTATCAAGTATTTAATAAGATGGCATTAAGCTGAGTCCGGACAGTTTCTTTTCTATTATTTTAGCATGTCCAACACATGGTCACATTTAAATTTAAGTAGTTCATGCATAATTCTATATGATAAACCAAATTTTAATGGATGTTCCTAAAAAAATAGCTTAACTGGAAATTTTAAAATCACTTCCATTACGCACAAAAAAAAGGGAAAGAAATATTAGATAACTGCCGCAACCATAGACTTTTGCAATTTAGTAAACTTTCAGTTTACATGTGCACCTTAAGATCAAGTAGTTTTTCTGAAGTCTTCTAGAAAAGAGCCACAGAGAACCAAACATAAAATTATCATCCTTAAACAATGATCATATAATAAAACATACTGTACTTTCCAATAAAGTAATAAACAAGCTGATATTTCCTGAGAGTAAACAGCATGTGTGTTTGCCTGCTTGTATGTGTGTGCCTCTATGCATGTGTGTCTATGCCTGCTGAGGGGGTTAAATCTCTTCCTGGCCTCACTTAAACACAGCGCAGTGATAGCTGGGTAATCCACAGGCAGGAAGCAGCTGGGGGGAGGGGGAGGGGGAGGGGGCCCTGTGTGCGCGTGTAAGAAGGGGGTCTCTCTTCATGTCTTATTCATGTCTCATTAATACTGCAGCATGCCCTACTGTGTGTATGTGTGTATGTGTGTGCACCCATGTGCATGTGTATGGGGGGTTTGCAGATGTGGGACAAGCCCTGCAGGGCACAACACAGAAATCAATTATTGCCCCTAAACACATAAATGCTGGAGGCACAAAGTCATGTCACATTCTGAGATTTCTTCAAGACATTTTCATTAACAGTCGCACAAACAGCTCTGAATCACTATGCACACAACTCACAATATAAACATGGTGTATAAAATACAGCTGATAGGAATTATTGATAAAATACAGGCAGGTTGATTACTTTGGAACTTTTAAACTCTTGGTAGGAAAAATGAACAATCTGAAGAGAATACTCTGGTGCCTTCCATCCTTCCTTCTCACCTCCCTCTCCCTCCTCACCATCACCTCATACAGAGTGCTCCCGGAGACATTGCGTGCAGCATGGCAATTACCCATCATGCTTGCTGCTTTCTTACGCTCTACCAAGACTTAATACAGGTTAGTTACTACATTTAGCAAAAACAGGAAGGGTGGGAGGGTAAGATCATAGGTGTGGTGCTTAAAGGCGTGTTTGAGGGTGTCGGTTTGTGTGCGTGTTTGGCACATGTGCCACGTCATGGCAAGCTGTTATCCGTGAGAGAGTTTTTATAGAAGCTTTACCAAAATCAATCACAAACATTTCTAATTTACATTGATTACTCAGTCAGTAATACATGTGCGTGTTCACACAGTCTGCAAACACTAATATGTAACACCGTAGCGCCGCTGCATTCAGAAAAAGTAATATCATCTATCTGATGTTTAAGTCCTGTTACACAGAGAACTAATGAGACAATCTGACATTTGCTGTGCTTCCTTTCAACCATGGCAAGAGCTCAGTCCAAACTTTTACTTTACTTTTGTTGACATATCTTGATCTATTTCTGCATTTTTGGAGTCAATATGAAAACTCCAGCTGACACAATAAAAATATGAATTGATTTACAAATAATCTTAGATGCAGAAAAAAGAAGTTATAATTTGGCCAAACACTGACATGAGGGAAACCAGTCGATATTTGAGTCTGTGTGAGGGACATTCATATCACCAAGAGCGGGCAATTAGAGTTTCATGAGGACCTGAGTGTTTTGGAAACACCTACAGTGCATCCAATTTGGCTAAAAAGGCTTTGCAATGCAGTGTCTGAAATCAAACAAAGGAAGGTGCAAAAACAACACCAGGTCCTATTGAGAGGTGTGGAGTGGACTCATTTAGCCATTCATACGTGTTCCTCAGGGAGCACTCCTTTTGGTAATATGAAGACAATAACTCAGAGTAAACCATTGATCATGGGCTGAGGTCCAGACCAAGTGATTGTGCATCTGTATAAGTATTGATTCATGCTGATGCTGACATTATTTATTCTTTATTCATATTCAGCCTCATATAACTGTAGAGAGTTTAACAAAGAACCTAGATCCTCCCGCGAAACCTTTCAGGAACACTACAGGAGAGCTGCGCGCGTACACACTTGCTGCCTCCTAACACACACACGCGCGCACGCACACACACACACACACACACACACACACACACACACACACACACACACCAGATGCCTAGTGTAACTAACATTTCAAATGATGCTATTCAGACAAACAGGCAAAGAAACCACAGAATTAAATTGTGTGCAAGTGTGTGTTTGTGTGCAGTGGCACCATGTATTTGTCTATATGTTTCTTCAGCTGTCTGTCACTTAGGTGTCTGCTTTTGAAAGAAGACATAACTAGGGCATGCTGGGTAAGCAGTGGGGAACAGAGCCTGAGGCCTTCATTGAACGCGCACACACAAACATATACACACACTTTTTATATAAGCGTGTTTTTATACAGTTATAACAGAGTGTGTTTAGGGTCTTTGTCAACATGGGGTTATTATAGGTGCCTATACCACCTACATGTCTCTGTGGGTGCATGTCTCAGATAGAAGAGAGAGGCTGCAGGGTCTGTTCCCTGGGTTTTGACTGACAGGTAAAGAGGTGGGAGGAAAGATAATATCAACCCACCGGGATGCCCAATCTGTAAAGCTCTATTTCTGGGTGACTTCCTGATTCCCAAAGGACCAATGAGCTGGTTCACTCAGCTTGGGGGGGGTTGAGCCCTTGGGGCAGAGCGGGGCCAATCAGCGGGAGGAGAGAAGGCTGAGCAACACATAGATCTGCTAATTTACATCATTAGCACAATGCATCCTGCCAAATGAGCCTCCAGGGTGTGAGCCAATCACCTGGGAGAGTAATGCAATTAGGTGGGACCACAGCTGTCAATCTCACAGTTATGGGGATCATGTAGTGACACCTGTGGCTAAAACACCCCTGCCTGGTGCCTGCCGCTCACACACAACATCTATACACACACACAAATATAGACAGAGAGAGAGACACAAATCAGTGACAGAGATATGAAGTGTATGATTCATGAGTGTGTCTGTGTGTCTGTAGAGAAGGGGACACAGTAGAGGCTGGTATCTTTCTCCTGAGACTGGAAGACAGGAGGCAGTGTGTGTGTGACCGCTTGAGGGACACAGAGATTGACTTGTGTCCTCCAAGGACTTACATCTGAGTGAAAATGTGTGCATATCTGCATACATCTGGGTGTGTGTTTACACTTGCCCATGTGTCTTCACCCATTGGAACACAGTTTTGTTTATACCCTGAGTCCAAGCTCTGTGCAAATACAATAAAGGGGGGAAAGGGCAGCACCATAGGGGAGCTAAAACTGGTGCAGAATAGCCCTGTTTTTGACTGGCATGTGAGTGAGCGCTGCTGGTAATGAGGCTTGTCTTAGTCTCATTAAGTGTAGCGATATCATACCGGAGCACTCCACTGTGTCGATAGGATTCTACCCAACATGTTGTTAATGTTTGTCGTCTGTGCGTGTGTATAGGGGGTGGTCGATGCTGCGGTGACTGGCAAACTGTCAGGGGATGCAGGAAATTTATCAGAGGCACCAATAACACCCAGGCTATGGCTCAAAACACTTTTGCTTACCCTTTCATGGCTTCAGTAGCACACAGGAGGGAGAAACATTCCCTAAAACAACCACTCAGCTTCTACAACAGTGAGCAGCAGATGCAGTTCAAGTCGAGCCTTGTACGTGCGGCTCAGCTGCTGCTTGCAACACTTGAGAATTAGGGGAGCTGTGTGTTTTGTGTCATCCCATTATATCACTAATGAGCTGCCCTCAGGAGGGAGGGGGAGAGAGACAGAGAGGCTGACAGAAAATGACAGACAAAAAATGAGGAGAGAATGAGAAGGGGGAAGGGAGACAGTGATCAGCTTGGGGACTTTTGCCTTCTTCTCCTCTCCATTCCCTTTTCCCCACACCTCTGGCTCTAATTGGACTAAAACTGTGATCTAATTAAATGTCCAATTAAAGTGCAGAGAGCAATGTGCCCACCGGCGAATCAGAGTACAGGGACATAATCAGCTGGAAAAACAAACAAAAAAATCAATAGGAGCAATACAAAATCAAAAAAGATGGAGGAAACAGAAAAGGAAGGACAGAAGAAATCAGAGTGCAGAGAAAGTGATACAAGTGTGTCCAGAAACCCAGACATGCTGCCATCTTCTCTGGGTTCAAGGTCATTTAAGATCAACTGAGATGAAGTCGAAAACTGTGCTGTGGTCTGACGAGGCAATATTTGAAATTCTTTTTAAAAATCATGGCCTGGGCAAAAGACAAGAGGGGCCACCCAGCTTATTATCAGAGCGCAGTTCAAAAGCTGGCATCTGTGATGGCACGGGGGTGCATTAATGCACAAGGTATGAGTAACTTGCACATCTGTGAATGCACCATTAATGCTGAACAGGTTATTGTGCAACATATGACGATGCCCTTTTCAGGGAAGGCCTTGCTTCAGCAAGACAATGTTAAACCACATTCTGCATGTATTCCAACATCACGGCTTTGAAATAAGAGTGCAGGTGCTAAACTAGCGTGCCTGCAGTGCAGACCTGTCACACACTGAAAACGTTTGGTGCATTAGGAAGTGACAATATAAGAAACAAGGCCCCAAACTGTTGAGCAACTGAAATCCTATATCAAGCAAGAACAGAAAAACATTTCGCTTTCAAAAATAAAGTAATCAGTCTCCTCAGTTCCCAAACAGTTAGAGTATTGTTCAACAAAGAGATGATGCAACACAGTGGAAAACATGCCCCCGTCTCAACTTCTGTGCCATGTGTTGCTGGCATCAAATTTAAAATGAGCATATACAGTGCCTTGTGAAAGTATTCGGCCCCCTTGAACTTTGCGACCTTTTGCCACATTTCAGGCTTCAAACATAAAGATATAAAACTGTAATTTTTTGTGAAGAATCAACAACAAGTGGGACACAATCATGAAGTGGAACGAAATTTATTGGATATTTCAAACGTTTTTAACAAATAAAAAACTGAAAAATTGGCCGTGCAAAATTATTCAGCCCC